GTGGTGTGTGTGTGGGTTGTGGTGTGGTGTGTGGGGTGTGGTGTGTGTGTGTGTGTGTGTGTGTGTGGGTGTGTGTGTGTGTGTGTGTGTGTGTGTGTGTGTGTGTGTGTGTGGTGTGGGTGTGGTGTGTGTGGGTGTGGTGTGTGTGTGTGTGTGTGTGTGTGTGGGTGTGTGTGTGTGTGTGTGGGTGTGGTGTGTGTGTGTGTGTGTGTGTGTGTGTGGTGTGTGTGTGTGTGGTGTGTGTGGTGTGTGGTGTGGTGTGTGGTGTGTGTGTGTGTGTGTGTGTGTGTGTGTGTGGTGTGTGTGGGATGGTTTTTTGTCCAGGAGCCCTACAGTGAGGTACTGACCAGAGCCTCTCACACTGTTATGCTATCAGTCATCTGCTGTAGGAACTCCTGTGGGAATGTGTTCAAGTTTCCAAGTATTTTCGCCCCCTTTTTCTTTCTTTCTCTCTTTCTTTCTTTCTTTCTTTCTTTCTTACTACATTTTTCGAGCTATTAACGCCACTTTCTTTCTCTTTCTTCACTCCCTTTATTCCTTCCTTTCTTGCATCGTTTAATTCTTTCACCTCCTCTTCTTTGCTCCCTCCTCTCCTTTAATCTTTCTCCCACCTCTACTACTACTAAGACTACTACGACTACGACTAATTATACTACTACGACTACGACTACTACTACTACTAACCTAACCCAACACCACACACAAGACACTTATAGCTAGTGGCAATATTGGAAAACTCAACACTGAAATGACTTGAAGAGAGCATAAATATAAACTTGTATGAGAAATTGATGACATTACTAAATTTCTATCTATCTATCTATCTCCTTGTCTATCTACCAGAATATAAACATGGTGAGTTAATTAGTGGGGTAATATGTGGTGGTATGGGAAGCGTCACGGTGGTGTAGCAACATGGAGTCTGTTTGTTTACATATATGGCAGCACCTCCTACGGCCGAGCCGCTCCTGGGGTGTGTGAGACCGTCGTATTTCGCTTGTAAACGAGCTTGCCTTATTGCTAACCTAACGTAACTTAACCTAATATGACCTAACGTAACCAAACCAAAGGTAACCTACATTATCCTAACCTAACCTAACGCACCAAAACCAAAGGTAACCTACATTATCCTAACCCAACCCCTCAAATATCGTTATGTCGTGTTATGTCAGGTAAGGTTCACAGGTGAGAGAGAGAGACCTATACCAAGATGGCCTCCAACAACACACCAAGGAAAAACAAAACACAAGAGACGGCACAGTGTTAGAGCCCTTGTACTGTATGATGCTCTAACACTCTCTCAACCTCAATTGTTTCTTGTTCCTTGATCAGTGTTACAGTCAAGGGAAGTACCTGAGGGAGGGGGAGGGTGGGGGGAAGGAGAGGAGGGGAGGTGAGAGGAAGGAAGAGGGAGGTGAGGGGGAACGGAAAGGTGAGGGGATGGGGAAGTAAGGGTGAGGAGGGAAGGAGCGTTCAGAGTAGAGGGAGGAGGTAAGGGGGAAAAGGGGAGGTAGGGAAGGAGCGAGGGAAGAGGGAAAGGAGGCGAGAGGGAGTCTTGAGCTTAGTTTAACAAATTTAACAAAGCTTGTAGTACAGTCCCTATTGTGAGTAATTCAGACAGGTCTTGACACTGAGGGTGGTCATTACTGTTACAGGACAGAGGTTCGTACACAAAGAGATGCATCATATTCATTAATAGTATATATAGGTCAGATTCTATATATACTGCTAATGAACATGATGTATTTCTTTGTGCACGAACCTCTGTCCTGCGTGGCAGTGAACAGTGACATCACCCACGTGAACTGAGAGGAGGGTGGAGGATGGATGAGTGGAAGAGGGAGGAGGATTAGGGAGCCTAGCACCCCACCCCACCGATACACCCTTGTAGTGATGATTTAACAAGTGAAGAGCGACAAGCGCACCTGCAGAAGAGGAGGCGCTAACAGTACCTCCTTCTTCATGGTAGCGTCTTTGTCAGGGACCTAACTCTCTTTCCTCCTTCACCATCACAACCATCCTCTCTCCTTCCTTCCAACTCTCTTCACCATCATAAATCCTTTCTCCATTCTCTCTTCACCATCACACCTCAGGCACATTCTCACACTCACTCCCACCTCCTCACCACCACCCTGGAGAAACAACAGAAAAATAAAGGAAATCAGAAAAACAGGGATAGGGATAAATTCTGGGGATATTAGGGAAATTGGGAAATGGGGAAAATTTGGGAAACGGAGTTGGGTTAAGAGAGCCTACAGGGTGGCAGGGGGTCAACTGGGGTCAAGTGGATAAAGGAGACACTGCCACTCACTGCTGTGAGACCTGACTGTGGTGGTGTGGGGTGGTGAAGGGGGAGGGAGGGGTGAGGGAGGGAGGGGTAGGTGAGGAGGGGAGGGGAGGAGGGAGGGAGGGTAGGTGAAGGAGGGAGGTGGGGGAGGGAGGGAGGGGTAGGGGAGGAGGGGTAGGTAGGTGAGGGGAGGGAGGGTAGGTGGGGAGGGAG